AAAAAAAAAAAAAAAAAAAGAAAAGAAAATCTTTAAAAATACTTGCTTTGGGAGAAGAAACAAAAATTTCTCCTTGTATCAAATCTTATATGAACTAATTTGACTTTTATCATCATACTTACTATTTTATACATCTAAAAACGCACTAGATGCTGAGTAGTAAAACAAAACCATTCAAAACAAAACAATCTATTATGGAGTCTGCCTTATTTTTAGCAAAAATACTACTTATTTTGAGATTAATATTATTTAAAGGAGAATAAAGGTTAGCTGTGTTTCAGATACGTAATCTCTATCAAGAGCCATAAAAATATGCGTAACTTTTGCCAAGGTCAACTTTCCCTGGAAATTTAACAAATAACATAACATTAAGTGATCTACAGAAATAAAATATTCATTACCTGTAGCATTATTTATAATTGAGAAAATTTAGAAATAAAAATGTCGAACAGAGAAATACTTAAGTAAATTATGCTGTATCAACTATATGGATGAACAAATATTACTATTATGCTTTTTATTTTTTATTGTAGTCAAGTATATTTAGCAAAATTTACAATCTTAACCATTTTAAGTTCAGTATATTAACTATATGCACTAACAAATTTCTAGAATTTTCTCATCTTGCTAAACTGATCAACAATGTAACTGTAACTGCTATAATGTAAGTAAATACTTGGATTTTTAAAAATTTTTTAATTCAGCCACTAGAAGTGTTTTGATTGTAGAGTTTAATCCATTTATATTGAAAGTAATTACTGAATTGGAAGGCTTTACTATTACCATTTTATAAGCAGTTTTATGTCCATTTTGTATTTATTTTGTCTCTTTTTCTGTCTTGATACCTTGTATTTTGTTGATTTTTAGTAGTGACATGCTCTGCAGTCTTTTCTCATTCTTTTGTGCCTCTTTTATAGATATTACCACGGGGGTTACAAAAACATTTTAAAGTTGCAGAAATCTACGAACTTGATGTCAATCACATACAAAACTCCTTTACATCTTCCCCTGCACTTATTAATGTACATTATATTTTTAAATTTTGTATTAACATAGTGTTAGTTATTTTTTTGTTTTTTAATTTCTATATCTGAATTAAAAGTAATTTTCATACCACCCTTACAAGTATTATAGGATTCTGTATTTGTCTATGTATTTACCTTTACTAGAGAACTTTGTATTTTTGTATGCTTTGTGCTGTCTAGTGTCCTTTCATTTCAACCTGAAGGACTTTTTTTAGGAATTTTTCTAGGGCAGGTCTAGTGGTGATGAACTTCCTCAGCTTTTGTTTATTCAAGAAGGCATTTCTTTACCATATGTGGAGAAGTTTTCCTTGATGTAGTATTCTAAGTTGAGAATTTCTTTCTTTCAGAACTTTGAATATATCATCCTACTCCCTTTTGGCCTGTTTCTGTTGAGAGATCTTCTGATGATCTTACAGGGCTCCATGGTTAGTGATGAGGTGCTTTTGTTTTGAAGCTTTCAAAATTCTGTTCGCCTTTACAAAGTCTGATTATAATGTGCCTCAGCGTGAGCTACTTTGGGTTCATCTCATTGGAGTCCTCTGAGCTTCTTGAAATTGGATCTTTCATTTCCACCATCCAACTGTTCAAGTTTCTGGCTATTTTATGTTCACATGAACTCTGCCCCATTCTGCCTCTCTTCTTCTTGGACTTCCATAACGTGAATGTTGTTCTGCTTCATGGTGTCCTATAAATCCCTTAGACTGCCTTCACTTTTCATTCTTTTTTCTGTTTCTCTGACTTGATAATTTTTAAAAAAATATGTCTTTATTTCAGTGAGGGGGGGGAGAGAGAAACACCAATGAGTGAGTCATTGATTGGCTGCATCCTGCAGGCCCCCTACTGGGAATTGAGCGCGAAACCCGGGCATGTGCCCTGACCGGGAATCGAACCTCGATCTCCTGGATCATAGGTTGCTGCTCAACCGCTGACTCACACCAGCGGGGCTGACTTGATCAATGCAAATGACCAGTCTTAGAGGTCACTGCTTCTTTCTTCTCTTGATTAAGTGTGCTGCTGATGTCCTCTAGTAAATTTTTCAATTCAATTACTATATTCTTCATCTCCAGAATCTTTGGTTCTTTTTTTATAGTTCCCCTGTTGATATTCTAACTGTTCATGTACTATTTTCCTGATTTCATTTAGTTGTTTGTGTTCCCATGTAGCACACTAAACTTCTTTAAGAGGGTTAGTCTATATTCTTTGTTAGGTAATTCATAGGTCTCTGTTCCTTTAGGATTGGTTCTGGAGATTTATTTTGTTCCTTTGAGCAATGTTTCCTCATTTTTTTCACATTTGGTTATTTTTTTGTTCTTTTGTGTATTTGAAAATGCTTTGCACTAGAGAGAAAAATCACCAATTAGCCTAGATAGAGATTCTTTAGGGGTAGGGGAAAGGGTGTCTTCTCACACCTTACATGGGGAATACATCTTCTCTGGGCTTCTACAAGAAATTTTCCACTATAGAGATTTGTGTGTTTCTTTTTCAGGAGAGTTTGTAGTCTCTTGTTCACTCTGGCTGGCTCTGCAACAAGCCACCAAGCTCTCTTTTGTCCTTTGTGGCCCCAGGCATCCAAGGTATGACAGTTCCCCATTAGTGTTCTGAGACAGACAAGGCAGAAATTAGTCCTTTGGGCAGTCTCCCCAAAAGTGAGAATGTTGGGTGTATGTTCTACTCTTCTTTTTCCCTTCCAATGGAGAAGTCATGAGTTGAGCTTTTTCTATCATAAGCAGTGCTGGCTTATGGGAGGGGCTGATGCAGCTGAAACGAAATGGCTTTTCTTACCCGTTACAATGTGGCTATTCTTGGTTTTGAGCCTGCCTCAGCATTGTGACTTCCTGACTGGTTTCTGGAGTTCTCAGAAAGGCTTTTTAAACATATATTGGTTAAGTTGGTATCTGTGTGAAGGAAAGGTCTAGGTTTTGTATTTTGGCATCTTGCTGTCATCACTCCCAACATATTACTTTTAAAAATTAAAGGCTATTTAACAATGCAGATAAATGCTTATAAAAACATTAAGTAAAAAACAGCAGAATTTGATATTTATTGAATTTAGCCACATAACATATACCTCTTATAAAGACTAAAAAAGACATATACAAAAAAAGAAATCAGTTATGTTAGTGTAGTAACACAGGTGATGCTATTTTTCCTATCACTTTGTTTAGGATTAACATTTGTATTTAATAGTTCAAAAGGTTATATACATAGTACTAACTTTTCACTACTGAATTGTCTAGGACAAGTATAAATTTTAATATGAATATTACTTACCTAGTATTTAATTGCTTCTTTATAATTTCTAAATTTACTGGTGGAAATGAAATGGAAGTATCAAACTTCTTCACTGTTTGAAATTCACTACTGTGGGAAAGATCTATGTTTCTTCCCTAAAAATAATATAAAAATTAGTACTGTTTTCAACATTCATTAATCTTACAATTATTAATAACATAAAAGCAGACTACATACTTCAAGATTTCATTAGCTCAAAATTCCATGCCATTGACATTTTTCACAGTTACAATAAAAACAGTTTCAAATTCTCAGTTTTAATATAGAACTTTAACATGTAAGAGGCAAATTACAAAATCTTCTTTTTCTTTCTTTTTTAATCCTCACCCAAGGATATGTGTTTTTTTAAAATTGATTTTTAGAGAAGTGCGGGGGGAAGGGGAAGTAGAGGGAGGGGGCAGAGAGGGAAAGAAGGGGGCAGAGAGAAAGAGAAAGAAATATCGATGTTATAGAGAAACTGATCAGTTGCCTTCCTTATGCACCTGGACTGGAAATCAAGTCTGCAACCTAGGTACGTGCAGAGGGAGAATGGAACCTGGTGTATAGCTGCAACCAACTGAGCCACCTGAGCCACCTAGCCTGGGCAAAAATCTTATTTTTCACAAAAGCTTGATTCTCAGTGTTTTTAAAGCCAGTTTTATTATCTTGATAATTATCTAAATTAAAAAGGATTATGCAAACTTGAGTAGTTAAGAGTAAGAACTGTGGCATGTTTTTTCTCAAAGTATTATTTTAATGCTGCTGTTACACTGATTTTACTAAAAAGAAAAAAAAAAGGGTGTGTGTGAAGAATGTAAGCCTGTTACAGTCATAAAATCGTCCTCTAAATCATTTCCCTGGTCAGAAACTTCTAAATTACAACCAAAGGCCTACCTTTACTTAGTTTTTTAGTTTTAATAACATGGAGATTTTATAATACTTTCTTAAGAGAGTAAATAATCTTTCAAAGTATTCTTATTAAAAAGATTAAAAACCTTATGTTTGTATACCATTATACAATTTATAAGCACTATGATTTAGATCATTATAATTTTGAGCATTACAGCCTACTCAGTTAAGTAACATAATGATTTCCATGTTATTGATGAGAAAACAGGTTTAGAAAAATTAAATGATTTGCTCAAAGTCATACACAAATATTTATAGAGCACTCACAATATTAGGGACTGCGGGATATAACACTGGACAAAATAGTTAATTCTTATACTCATGGAACATGTATTTTAGTGGTAGTGCCAGAACCCAAATCCAGAACTTCTGACCCCAAGTACAATATTCTCTTTGTTTGTGAGTTTTATTTTAAACTTCACTACTTGTTTCAACTTCATGTTTAAGCAACGTACCATATACTATATACTGTCAGTTACTATATAATTAAGGATAAAAAACATACGGTCCTTTCAAGTGGCTTGTAATAAATATGTGAAAGGTGTTTAAAATCTAGTGGGAAAAGCACATATATACATAGTGTAGTGGGTTAAGTGGTGGCCTCCCAAAAGATATTTCTATGTTCTAACCCCTGGAACTTGCAACTATGACCTTATTTGGAAAAAGGTCTTTGTGGGTATAATTAAGGAAAGCATCTCAGGATGAGATCATCCTGAATTACCAAGTGGGCCTTAAATCCATCAAGTGTCCTTATAAGAGACACAGTGTAGAAGCAAAGCAAAGAAGGCCATGTGAAGGAGGCAAAGGAGTAATGCAGTCACAAAGTAAGGAACACCTGGAATGACCAGAAAAGGCAAAAAAGGGATTCTCCTCTAGAGCCTTCAAAGGCAGCACAGTCCTGCCAACACCTTGATTTCAGACTTCTAGCCTCCACAACTGTGGGAGAATAAACGTCTCTTGCTTTAAGACATCACATTTGTGGTAATTTGTTACAGCAGTCACAGGAAACTAATACACATGATATAAAAGAAATGATTACCTCTGTGATTTTAACTGCTTTCCTCATTTGCTGCTGTTCCCAAATATCTTGATTTTCATCTTCTTGACTTTCTTCACTTGTTTCTTCATGTCTGGTTGCTAGAGAAAACAGCAGCAGTTCACGGTTAGTCAACATTTTTTCCATTCTAATACAGTGGCTAACACTTCTGGGGTGTTTATAATGTGCTAGCTTAGCAGCCTTTTAGATGTGTTAACTTATTCTTCACAGTAATTCTGGGAAGAAGGCACTATTATCACCCTTGTTTTATAAATGAGAAAACGCAGATATTAGAAGGTTAAATAACTTGTCTGAGGACAGTGTTGAAGCTGGGACTTCAATCTATCAATCTAACTCCAGAACTTTATTCACTCAAACTGTCCTACTCAAAACACTATAGGCTCATGAAAGATGGTTGGAAAAAATGAAACATTTGGTTTTCATTACCAGAGTTTCTCAATTCTACTTGAACCACGTCTCACTATGAAATAATGGTATTTGAAGTGACAAAAAATGTTGGTAAATCATATAATATTGTTTATAAAAGAGAAACGTAAAAATGGTCCTTTGAGACCTAAAGATTAGTGGTTGAAGAAATTTTTTAATTATAGCAGGAAAGATTTTAATATCTGACACTTAAAATCCCTGTAGATGCTTCCATGTTTAACAACAACAAAATCGTTATATGCCCTGGCCGGTGTGGCTCAGTTGGTTGAGCACTGTCCTGTGTACTGAAGAACCATCAGTTTGATTCCTGGTCAGGGCATATGCTCAGGCTGTGTGCTTGATCCCCAGTTGGGGTGCATGTGGGAGGCAGCCAATCGATGCTTCTCTCTCTCCCCCTTTCTCTCTCTCTAAAAAAAACAGCAACGAAAACATATTTAAAAAATCTTTATATAGGTGAAAATGAAAGACTTAAATATCAAAAATAAGACAGTATGAAATTTTTTAACTTGTTAGAAAGATCAAGTGGAGATCAGATAATAGTAAACAATATTACACATACCCTTTGATAACATTTTGATAAAGACATGTCCTTTAGAGGCCATGTTGTCACTGACCAAATTGGTATTAAATAAAAACCAACCTTAACACCCTTTAGACTATGAGACACTACATTCTGTTTTTTTATGGAGATTTTATCATAATATTATATAAAAAGCCTTAATGTTCATATACTGCAAATAAATTAAATATGTACTTGTTTCTTCAGCCATTCTTTGTCGAAGTGTTTGAGGCTTTGGGGTAAATGGTATTCTTTTTTCATGGTCATCAGGCTCACTCTCAGGATCTTCATCACTGCTCTTCTTCATATCAGAGATAGTAGATGGATGTTTTACATCCAAAGAAATATAGTCCTCTTGGGCCCTGGCCAATTCACGTTTTCTACGGGCCGCCTGAATAAAAGCTGCATCAGGGATATTTACTAAAAGAAACGAAGAGGACGATATTGAAAACCAAACACCAACAGAAATATTCTTCACATTTAAATAAAATTTAAAAAGATGCCGGTTTTCTAATTTTTTCACTATTCTGATATGAATGTAAATAGCTCACAATCTACATCAGTAATGGAAGAAAACTATTTTGATAGAGATTAAATAATTCTTATTTAATAATTAAAATTTATCTTTACATTAACCAAATGAAGAAGTATCAGAAAATATACTGAAACCACTCCAATATATCTTTTAACTATTATTCATCAGGTGTTATTGGTGACTTTTCGTTCAGGGCTAGCCATTTCTCATCTCCAGAGGCTCTGAGATTGTCAGGGTACAGATGTGGAGAGGGCCTAGCACGAGTTGCCCAGTCAGGAACAACTGTAGAGGTTAGCTGGTGATAGACCAGTCTGACATACAAAGTAACAGGAACACTATACTACGGTCCACCCTTCTCCACTGGGCATCCAGGCATACAGGGAATGAGAAACACACTACAGTCATCACACAGACACGTCAGCCTTCAAGGTCCTATGGTGATTCTCACGTGAGTAAATGTGACATGTTAAAAAGTATACAAGAAATAATCAGGTTCATTTACCAGGTGAAAAATATTTAAGGAACAATATTTTTTAATACAGTTTTGTTTTATTTTTATTTCATACAGTATAAACCTTATTAATATGAGTCTTCCAATTCAAAACAAGTTTCTTCATGCATGATCTAAAATAAAATTAACCTTTACGCTGTGGGAAGAAATGGTTTCATAAGCAAAATGCTGAGATAAAATGGCAAGAGACATTTTTACCATTTCAAGCACTTCAAAATATTATTAGGGGTGTCAAGTCACTGAGGCTCAAGTGAAATTTTCTAACCTTTCCCAAAAATTGGTCCCAATTCCTTTGAAAACAAATAGAAAAAAACCCACACAAACATTATATGCCAGGAGATGCAGAAATATTCCAGTTTTTTAAACAGAAAAAGAGACAGATTTCAGGAATCACAGACCAATATACTGGATAACCAGTCCTAAAGGAAAACAAAAAGTACCTGAATTATGAAGCACTAGGTGGCAATCACTAGAAACAAACATGTGCTCATTAAAAACAAGGAATACCAAAGCAAGTGCTTTGGTTTTTGTAGCCTAGTGCTTATTCACAGATCAGTATCAGGAAAATGATACAAGCCAGGTGTCTCTCCATCCTCCCAAAGATTTAACAGCTGCATTTTCCTCGTGGATAACGTTAAAATACGGGGGAAATCATACGGCGCACTGCATTCTTAACCGCTAAGTACTCCAAAAAAAACCACCCACAGAAGTTGATTATAAAGTAATGCCAGAGGGTTGTGAATTTTGTCTTGTTATTTTAATGATCTTATTGTGATGTGGCTGAAGACAACATGACGTCTTTAAAGCTGAGACAGTTAATATAACCTGAAGCAGAATTAAAATTCAAAACCATCACAACAGATTATACTGTCATTTCTTGACCCTGGCTACACATTAGAATCACCTGGGAAGCTCGATAATCTGCTGGTACCCAGGCTCCCAGCCCAGAGATCCAGATTCAGTTGATCTGAGCAGCAGCATGTCTTTAGAGCCCGCTGGGGAATTTTAATGTGCAACCAGGTTAAGATGACACATTTAGGTTTAAATACTCAGGTTTATAAAAACAGGAATACTTAAATTAGAAGTGAGTCACCTGCTAATGACTTGATAGGATTTAATTAACAAATCACAATGAATGAACTCCCTAGTGAGATACTAATTCAACATAAAGTAAATCCTCTTGAGCAACCATAAAGTAAAAATTCAAAAGAAAAAGAGTACTCTATCCTGTCCTGCCTATATCCAACACCTAGCTCAAGGGTTCTCACATAGCAGATGTTGGGCAGACATGGGATTAATTAGTAAAGTCAGCATACTGCTTTATAATAACAAAAACATGTTTTTATAGATTTATAATTCATACTTATATTTTATATCCTATCTAAGGAGTAGAGGTTAAATACCATGCCCCATTGTTAACAAGTAGTCTCTGCAATGTAAACATCTCATGACAAATATTCCATATTCCATTACTGGATTATTCTAATAGTTCTATCATCTGAACGAAAAATAAATGCACTTTCTTCCACATACCAATCCTAAACTTATATTCCCTCTTTTTCTGCTCCAGAAAAAATAACAATGAAAGTGTTTCTCATGGGACAAGTTTTCAACTTTCAATCAGTGTTTCTCAAAAGGGCATTTGAGGAGGGACAATCCTTTAGTGTGTAGAACTGTTCTGCAAGATATCTATTATTGCTTGCTTCCAGGGCACTACATGCCAGCAACACCTCAGTCACCATAATTAAAACTCTCTCATACATTTCCCATTTCCAAACACTGCCTTCTTTCCTTAGGTGCACAGTGCTGTCAACACTTTACAACTACTGTCTTACACTGTCTAATCCACCATCTTTTATAGTGGCTCTGTTCAACAGAGTAACCACTTGCCATATGTGACTATTTAAATTTAATCAAATTAAAAATCCAATTCCTTAGTTACACAAGCCACATTTCAAGAGCTCTTATAGCTTCATGTGGTTAGCAGCTAATGTACTGGACAGTAAAGACACAGAATTTTTACATCCTTGTAGAAAGTTCTATTGGACAGCGCTGTAGCTGGAGTCTAGCCAAGGCTTCACTTGTCTGCTAGGCTTTATCATAAAGTATCTGTACCTTGTAAACTTGTATAAAAAAAAATTACAAGAGCTACTGGTTTTGTTATTTAGTAAGTTAATAAAGCACTTGTATTTTAAAACATATTTTAACAATTATATTTCAAATTCACTTGTTCCCTTTATAAAGCTATGTATTTTACTTTATTTTCTCAGAAGTGGTCTTAGGTTTCATCAGACTAAAAAACAATACAAAATAAATTATGAACTCTTGAGCTAGAGTAAAAGGCATTTTTGGCTTTGTGTGCCATAAAGTCTCTTGTCAATGTCTCAATGCCACAGCAGTGCAAAAGCAGCCTCAGAAAATACATAATTGAATGAGTGTGGCTGTGTTTTAATAAAACTTTATTTACAAAAGCAGGGGGTGGGCTACATTTGGAACACAGGTGGTAATGTGCCAACCCCAGAACTGGATTGATTTTTCTAAAATACAAAAATGATCATGTCATCTAGTTGCATAAAATTTTCAGTAGCTCCACCAAGCCCTGTATTGCCTGACTCCAACATGTCCCTCTGATTGCTTTCTTTTTGTTCCTCTTTCTTAAACTCCAACTAAATATTTTCAGTCCAACTATTTTTAGTTCTCTACACATGCTGTATTATCTTCCCTCAAGTTTTATATATACTACATTTTGTACCTGAAAATTCCTCACTGACAAATTCTTACCATCCTTCAGACAGTGGCATGAATCGCCCAATAAAGAACATAGGCTCTGGGGTAGAGTGATTGGTTTGAATCTTAGTTGTGCCTCTTATAAGCTGTCTGACCTTGGGCATGTTACGTAATGGAAATGAGCAGTCAATTTAGAAACTTTCACCATCGTTAGTAATGACTTACTTGCCCCATACTTCACTACAGTTTATGTTATTAATAATAAGCTCACAGGTACAGAATATACTGATTTAGGAATTAAGTTCTTAAACAAAATTATAAGAATTACCAACCTATTGATGAAAATTCTTCTTCCAGAGAGCTAGAGTTGTTGGAAGATGAACTCTGATCACCTTTACTTTCTGAGGCATCGTATGTTCCGTCCTCGTCATCTGTTGAAAGATCAACTGTTCTGGATTCTAACAGAATATTTTTGAATATAAAAAGAAAGAGTCAAGATATTGGAATCAATAACTAAAATTCTGACCAACACATGGCATATGTATAATATGGTGTTCAGGTTTTACTCCACATATTTAAAGTAGGTATACAGATCTTTCTCCAACCTCCATTCTCTGTGAAACCAATGGATAGTCTAAAAAATGTACAAAGACTTACACTACTTATACTATTTACTTATCTGTTAAAATGCTCCTTTAAAGGATGCAATGAGAAGAGGAAAGGGAATATTAGAGAAAAATCAAAACAAGAAAGAAAAAACAGTTGTACTGAATAAGTAGAAAAAGAAAAAAATATTTACTGTACACTTAGAATGTGTTAGGCACACTGGAATCTGTTTTATAAGGTATAATTAATTTGATATTCACAATTCTATAAAGTAAGTGCTATTACTGAGGAGAACTAGAGTCCTCATCAGGATTGGGGAGGCTAAATAACATGTCCAATGTCACAAAGTTAACGAGTAGAGAAGCAGGGCTTTCAACTAAATTTCACCCAACTCTGGAATTCAGGCTTTTTAAGTATTACGAAAACAGGCAAAAGAAAATGTCTCAAAGCCCACCATCTGCATTCTTCTAATGTAATATTCTGGTTAAGTGTTTTCGAGAAAAGTAATTGGGGGCGTTTCCAAAAGGCACACATAACTTTCATGTACCTAAGGGTATTAGAAAAATCTTAACTCTTCTGTGACGGTTTCACATAAACATCAAATACTGCACTAAATCTATAATTTGTGATGGTTCATCTGGTGTTGCAGACGAGCCCCCCAACCGTACAGGATTCCTTGTACTCCTCCAAGGCGCCCCATGGGGAGATGCGGACGGCGGGCCAGCGCTCGCGGCGGGCGGTCTTGCTCACTAGCTCCGGACTGACCGTCGCTCGTGGTCAGCAGCAGGTTACAGAAACCTCTAGAGAGTCCAGCGGGACTCCTCCCGCTCCACCCTAACCCGTCACCTGGGGCGCTCACCCCGGTCCCAAGTCACCTGGGACGCCCGTGCCGCCATCCCCGCGGGGAGCCGCTCCGGGGGCGCGCCGGGAAGTCGCCCAGACCCGGCCCCGGCCCCGAGGGCCTCGGACGCGAAGGGGCCGTTCGGCCGCCTCTGCGCGGCCTCCTCCAGGGGATGGCTCTTCCTGCTCAGGGGCCGGGACTGCCTGCTCCCCCGGCGCCCCGGGTTCAGCAGACGGCTCCTCGGCGCTGTCGCTGTCACTGGAGTCGGCTCGCCGCTGCCGGAAAGTCCTTTTGGGCCTGTGAGCCATAGCCGAGAGCAGGGAGCCTCCAGCGCGTTCTCTTCCGGCGCAGCCAACGCGAGTCATTGACGTGCGACGCGGCGCGCGCTCCCACCTCCG